TGCTGTAAACACATTCTCCATTATAAGTGGCTGGACAGGATACTGCAGTGCTGTTATATTGAAAGGCAAGTCTGAAAGCAGTTTTAGGAGTTTTACATTAATAGAGAAAATTATTTAAGACAATTCCTGGGAAGAATGACTTCTTGGCAAGTTGCATTTTTTTTTCATATTTGCAGACCAACCTTTAGGCTTGTCTGCTGACCTAAAAAAAAGACAAGCCCTTATCCTTCTGTGTATGACATAGTTATGCAGATACATATGGAGAACAGAGCGAAGAAATTTGTGAAGTGTTCTGACCCAACATATGATCTTATTCTATATACATTCTTTTGTGACCTTTAGCATTGCAGTATTTGAATGCTTTCTGATAGTAAAGTAAGGGACTGCAAATGTTTTTCTTATATTTCCCCTTATAGAATAGGATAGGTATTGTGACCTCTTGTTTCAAGGGGGGGGGTTGGCTTTTTGGGGGGGAGTTTTGGTGTTTTTTTCACTGTGAACGTTGCTGTGGGTTGTTTTATTTTCCTGTAGCCTGAGAGAAGAGCAAAGATATACTCTGATTTTCCATTTTTCCCTTGACATTTGTAGCTGAAATAATAATATGAGATAACCTGCAAGAAGATGGTTCAGAAAGCTGCTTGTAATGGACAGTCCACTAGAGCTGTATTGTGAAGGGCTTGCGAAGTAGACTGCACAAAATATTGCTGGGCCTTTGTACCCAAAGCTATTGGCTGAAGTCTTTAGGTTTCCTAATACAAGTAGGCTTTCAAGTCTTATTTTCAAAAGTGTTCTAATTGATTTGAATGCCTCCAGGCTGGATTTTGTCAAAGATACTGGGAATTAAAGTGCTTGGGTACATTCTCAATTTTTTTTTTTTCCATTTGTTATGTAGAAGTTTGTGCTACGCTGCTTTTGTTTTCTAAAGTAGTGGGAGAGGAAGCCCCTTTCCTCTGGAAGAGCTGAGGGAGCCCTCAGCTGAGTGCTTTCCCTCTTCTGATGAGATCTGTTGAGCAGTAGTTCACAGTGCTGGCCCACTTGGCTACCTATTATCTGGAAAGAGGTATGAGCTCAGCCACTCAGGCGTGTAGTAAAACCATCAGTGTTAGGCTCTACTGGTCTTCTTGCTGCCCAAATATGAGTGTTGATGCTGACTTCCAGGACTGGTCATTATTTAGACTAACAGTCTTGTTAGTTCAGATATCTCAAATGCTTGGAACATTAAATGCCTTAATAATTTATGAAGTCGAGTTTAAAGTGTATATTAAAGTCTAAAATATTTTTACATTTTCAACTATAATTAATAAGAAATTAAGGTGTCAAAAATAAAGTTAGGATAGCCTCTTTTGTGCCATTGAACTGAGCTAATTGCTAGAATATTTTAATTTGTCCAATTAAGTTCATAGTCCTTACTAATGGATCCATTAGCTTTTTACAAAATGCCACATGTTGATCTCATGGAAAAATCAAATAGTCAATATAGGAAGCATGTTTGCTTCTCATCATAGTTGCTTTGTCAGAAGACTTACTGGCAACCTCCAGTCAGAGGCCTAATTCTGCATTGAGACTCATCCTGTATTTTTTCATTTTTTATTTTTACTGTTACCAAAACAAAAAGGCTCTTGCAGAAATACCTACAATTGAACTGCATTGTGAAATTCTAAGTTTTATCAATCTAAGTTCTGTTCTTTTACAGTCAAAAATCGATGACCTATTTTTTACATCAAATAAGACTTTCACATCACCAGTCTTTACAACCTTCCTTTTTCTTTACTGCAAAGCCATTTGGCAGAGAACAGTCTTCTACTGAAAATGGATCTGTGATCCAGTTTTTGTTTGTTAGTGGTGGGAAAGGGTTTGGGTTTTTTATTAAATTCAGCTCAAATTCAGCCAGCATACTGTTATATTACCTTTGAGGTCAAAGTGAATTTTCACTTCATTTCAGCACGGATTTTTGTAAGGTTTCCTAGTGATGGCAATTTTGTTCTTTTTCCTGTGTTATATTTTACTGTGCCCTGTGTTTTGTTGAGAATATTTAGAAAGCATAGCTTTCGGTCACAGCAAACCAATATCCAGTTCATTGAGATGTGAATGAGTTAACTACATGGGCTGCTCTTGACAGCCGTAACCCAGGCTCAAAACCATCAGGGCTTAGAACTAAAATCATTGTGGAAAACTTGCACTTCAGAACAGGGCTCAAGGAGAGCTTGAGCTTGCCTCTGTGTGAATGAGTCTTTGATTGCTCTGACTTTATGGCACAAAAATGAAAGTTACCACGAGTTCAATACTTCTGCTTTAGCTTTACGGTCCATAGCTTTCCATTTTCTTAAATCAAGCTCCCCTTCTTTCAAAATTCAGAGTAACTGCAAATAAGCAGCCAGTGTCAAACCTAAAATTCCTGCAGTATTTGTTGGTTGTAGCAGAAATGTTACCAATAGTTCCTGAAACCTCTTGGGCCGCCTTCTGCAATGTTTTACTTGTGAAGTTTTTTGTTGATTGCTTGGTTGTTTTTTTTTTCTTTTTTCTCATATTTGTAAAATGTGTTGTGGAAATTTTCTGTAGGGGGGCAGAGAGATTTGACTTAGAAAGCAATGAAGGTGTCAACTCAAGGTGTGGGTGAAAGACTTGCCACTCAGTTTAGACAGCTTTGGCTCCAGGGGATTTTTTCATTCCTCGGCAGCTCTAGGCACCTCAGATACAGCTCTTCATTGTGGATGTCTCATCCAGACACTGGGTGTGTCTCAATCCCAAAATTTTCTAGGTGCTAAAATTGAGACTAGTCAGCTACTCTTCTACATAAGACTTACCTGTGTTTTCCTAGTCTTATAGTTGAGCTTTTATCCACTCTATAAACTCATCTGTTTTCACCTACCCCACATACACTTCAGCCATAGGGAACTCCATGTATCCATGGTTTCTGAGCTCCTGCTAGTTTGGTCTCTACAGCTACTAGTGCAAGTGAGTGGCTATTTTGGATGGATTGCCTTAGCAAGAGAGTGTTTCTGGTGGTAGTAGATTCTCCATTTATTTGGAACTTGCCTGTTAGCATGTGTTTGACAGGAGGGATCCTCGCAATAAGAAATGGACCTTTACAGGCTTGCCGTGGTAGCTTGAGCCGTGCAGCTCGATACGTGCTGAAGGCTACCCCCAGCAGAATGCTAGCCAGCCAGCTGTGTGCCAGATGACAGCCCAGCACCCAACGGCGCACAACCATCTCACAGAAGACACTATCAGATAAAATACTGTGCTACTGCCACTTCCTTTAGCTGAAAGTGTCTGGAGGATGTGTTAGGTGCTGGTGCGTTTGGGTTTTTTTGAGCAGAACAGTGCTTATCACAACTGTCTGAAGGTAAAAGATGTTTGGAAGGGAAGAAGGGATTTAAATATACTGATTCCCTGCAAATACGGAAAGATTTTTCATAGTAATGCTTTCCGTATTTGGAGCTCACACTTAGGAAATAATGCAAGCATCACTCCTTAGGATAGCCCCAATATGGTTATGAAGTAATTCTGAGAATTATGTGATAAATCGCAGTTCAGTGTATGAAATTTCCTTTAAAAAAGTGCTTTGTTTCCTTAGCGCTGTAATATTCTTCCTATATAAATGTATTCTCTATGTCAAATCATTCTCAGTCTTACCTCAGAAAAAACTGCCTGTGATTTCAAAGGGAGTTTTGCCTAAGGTAGGGCTTGCAACATCAGGACCAGGAATTAGTGTAATGTGACCCACCATTTGTATTGCTTTGGGGTAAATTTAAGAGAGAAGATTTAACATTGTGTGTGTCATGCTGAGATATTGCAATATCTCGGATGGGTTATTAGGCACCAATCCAAAGGTTAAGTGCAGCAACCACATGAGATGTGGCTTTATCCTTACATGATCTATGCCTGTGTTCTGTTTTGCAGTCCCCTGAAATAGGTATTATCTCTAAAACGAAACAACACATTTACAAGACCTTATTGAAACCTATCCCAAGCTATTAAATGTAGTTTCAGTAGAAAACTGTGTGCATATATGTCATTTGAAATCTAGAAATCAGTCCTTGTATGTGTGAACTCACTGAAATTTTGAATCTGGATCCTAGTGTGCACCAGATAAATATTCACGACCTTTGGGAAAGTCTAGATATGAATTTGCAGTTTAAGACCTTTTCTAATTTATATGCATACATCTTTTTTGGGTTTTATTTTCCATGCTGTTTTTGCTTGGCTTGCATTAAATAAAATGCTTCAATGGAGTGTGGTAGTCTAGCATTTGTTTTGCCTCAGGAGTAGATTGCCCCATCTTGCATATCTGGTCAAGTAAATTGCTCTCTTGCCTGTGTACTTCAATAATAGTACTGGGCTTTAGACCTTCCTGTACAACCCCCCAGTGAGCAGAACCACGAGGGGCTGGGCCTCTGTTATGCTAACAGTTTTCTCTATTGTAATGGATGCATTCATCTCCTATTTACATAAATTAATAGTTAAAACTTGTTTGGTTGCTTAAGAAAACTCATTAAGCTTTAGAGAGTAGCTGTATTATGAGCACTGTGGCAATCGCTCCCATTGACTTATCTCCTGCTGGTTCACTGGGAACCAGTCCATCTCAGGGTCAGGTCCCTAAGCTTCGCTGCAGAATTAAATAAATAGCATTTAAAATAAAATGCAAATAATCTGTTCAGTGCAAAGTGGATGCTGGGGAACTTCCTTATGGAAAAGAGGTTAAGTTTAAAATTTGCAAAAATGAAACTGTATTTTTGTCTGAATGGCTGATTTTTGCTCAGGAAATAGATCATATTTTTAATGCATTTTCTGCTAGTCACTGGAGAATGTTTGACATTGTAAGACAAAGGTCAGTTTGTATAACATGAAATGGGAGGGGAATGTTTAATATGAAGAGCTTGGCCAGGTAATTTTTTGGTTGCTTTAATTGAATGTGCTGGTTTGCCTTTTTAATTTATCATCTTCAGTATGTGATTTTATTTTTCTTTATTTCCTATTTGTTTTTTCTTTTTTTATAGATTGGAGAAAGAGAGCATTCAGCAAAGCATTAGCAATGAAGCAAAGGCCCGAGCCCTTCAGGCCCAGCAAAGAGAGCAGGAGCTGACACAGAAGATGCAGCAAATGGAGGCCCAGCATGAGAAAACTGGTAGGTGGTAGGGAAAGATTAGAGCCTGGGCACTCACTCACAAGCCAGGCCCACGCCTTACTGTGAAATGACATCAGGAACACCTGTAACCTTTGGCTGGCCGAAGGGAGCAGATGCTAACTACACCGGAGATTCCGAATTACATATTAGTTAGCGTTTAAAAGAGAAAATGGAAAGTATTGCCCACTGTCTGTTGATTTCAGAGTGCTGCTCTCACATCTGTTGCACCATCTGGATTATGAGTTTATTTACCTGTGTTCAAGAAACGTAAAGCTGAGAGAGACCACAACAAAGTAGAAAAACAAAGGGCTTGTTTTTGGCTGGATTTTCAGGCACACATGTTATATAAAGAAAATAGCATCAGAAGCTCTGCGGGAAATGCTCTGAGCTTACAGTTAAAGTCTCCTGAATAGCATTGAACAGTTCCCACAGTACACACATTATAGCTACTCTAAAAGCTTAATGAGTTTGCTTCGGCATCCAAACTGGAGAAAAGCTTTAGCCATTAATCGGTTCTTAATTCACTGTCGCAGCTGGATGTAATTCACTGGCTCCAAATTGATATGTTCCTTTATTTAATCTTTGCAGCCTCAAACATTTTTAGCATTACCATGTGCCCCCCCCCCTCCCGCAACACACACACCCTCAATCTAGAAGAAAGATGTTTAATCCTTTGCATACTTCAGCTTCTCATAATAGGAGACTTCATTGCATTGACTTAGCTGATCAATAACTTCTAACCTTTCATCTGGAAGTAAAATGGGTTTTCCAAACAAACAAAAAAAGCTTTTTGTTATTGTTAAGTACTATGCCAACAACATAAATAAAGGTATATATTATAAACAAGAAAAAGAAATTTTTAGGGTGGAAATCTCTAACCCCTGAGCATAGAAAGAAGGAGGAGCTTCAGCTCTTATGGAACATGGCATATTCATATGTTTAATAAAACATCATTTTTACCCACCAGTCCTGCAGTACCTTTAAAAAAATGATATAGCCTGTATTAATCCTAAGCAGCGTCAGATAATACCTGAGGTAGCATGCACGTTTACGTCTGGTATCTGATTTTCTGCTTTTTTTGCAGCATTATCACAGTACTAGAGGACCTTTCCATGTATTCAGAGAATGCAAACAGCTCCATTATGGCTGCTGTCTACACAGTAGGAAAGGAAAAGAATCAGAATCATTTTTCTCTACTCTAGCGAGCACATCTGCATATGACCAAGTGTAATTTTGCACAAGAGATGTGTAATTTACCCTCCTGGAGCATAAATTGTCCCAGTATACAAAAATGAAACAACATTAAGGCTAAGTTTGTTTTTATATATCTCTAGTAGGATTAGGAGGAGTTGAAAATGATAGTAAATTATTATGCTCATAAAGAAACCCTTGTGTATTATGACCCTACACACATACAAGGAATTTGGGTAACAATGGTCTCTTTCTCTGATTTTAAAAGCAGAAATCAAGAAACATAGTTTTGCAATATCTTCCTTTTGAAAGAATAAAGATTCTTTATTTCTAGGTCATGAGTTTTGGTGCAGCCCAAACTGATAGTAACTGAAAATTAATTTAGGAAATGGTTTCACTTTAACTGTCACTGGACAATAAGTCTATATCTTATCATTAAAGAGAAAAAAATATATATTAATCATAGGAAGCACAAGACCCAGTAAATACAAGAACTGCTTTTTTAAGGAGTTAAGCAAGCAAAATGCTGCTAAGGCGTGGCTTGCCAATTTTATTCCTCCCAGAAATGTCAATGAACTTCCAACTAAAAAGCAAAATCACCAAGTTACATATGTAGTCTTTATGGTGATTCTTCTCATACAAGACCTTGATTCAGTGGTAATATCACTTTAACATTTTACATTAGCTTATTCTGACATAGAGCCTTTATTTGGTGAATGATGATGTCATCATTCCATTTCCAAGTAGCTGAAGTTTAAAAAACATACCCAAACCAGAAGGATCTAGGGGAAAGAAATTAAGAATATATAAAAATATTTCTAAATTATCTATAAATGTATATAATTGTAAAATAAATTTCTAGTTTTATCATTTTATAATTTCTAGTAAATGAACTGGATTCATTGCTGACCTCCCAGAATTCATTCATAGCAAAATTAAAGGAAGAATGTTGTATGTTGGCAAGGAAGTTGGAACAAACATCAGAAAAATACAGGTTAGTATATTTTTCTTGTTCTGTTCCTTTTATTATTAGGACATGCTTCCTTATTTTTTTATTTATATTTTAATATTTATTATTATTCATCTTGTCCCAGGTATTACATATCATCTCAATATAATATATGCCACTTGAGAAACACGGATGGATTTTTATCCAGGATAATTCTAATTTTTCTCTTTTCAGATTATATTTCTAGCTATTACTTTCAAATTCTTAGACAATTATAATGTAAAAATTGCATACTCTTTTCTTTCTGAAGTTCTTTACTGTGAGGGTGGTGGAGCACTGGAACAGGTTGCCCAGGGAGGTTGTTGAGGCCCCATGCCTGGAGATACTCGAGGTGAGGCTCGATGAGGCCCTGGGCAACCTGGTCTAGTTGGGGGTGTCCCTGCTGACTGCGGGGAGGATGGACTAGATGACCTTTGGAGGTCCCTTCCGGCCTGGACAATTCTATGATTCTATGATTCATATTCTTAATATGAAGAGTGGAAAATTGTTAACAGAGCTACAATTCAAGTTTATCTGAAAATATGTGAAAAATAAAAAATATTCAAAGTTCTCAAAACTGTAATCTGTTGGTTTAATTATCTACTTAAAGCTCCATTCATAATTATCTCTAAAATAATTGTTGTCAAAATTGTTTCTTATTGAAGCTCTGATTCTGCTACCGCTTGTTATGTGGTGCCTTGTTAAAATCAATAGCAGGTTTAAATACAAAGCCATTAAAATTTCAGGAACAGAACAAAACGTGGAAGCAATAACTGGTTTGAATAAATACAAAAGTATGAAAGTATCTATTTAAAAGTTTTATAGAACAGGACTATCTCTTTTTAAAAAATTATGAATTTTATAGTACTGTACTAGTAAGCAATTTTATTTTGCATTTTTAAATGTGAAGATAGTCTCTGAAACTTTCTGCAGCGTTCATATTTAGAGTAGTAAGCAGGACTTAAGTGGTGTGTTGGCATTCTGCAACTTCTGTAGATTTCAAGCAATGTGAACTTGTTAATTAAGTGTAGGATTCATCTCGCGTGGCTTATGTGAAGTAAGGAGAACGTTCAGCAAAGATGAAATTGGTTTTCCCCACAGCAGGGGGACAGATAGGATTCTTCTGCTGCGGGGTGGATTTAATCATCCTGTTGAGGTAACGTAACAAGGGCAACGCTCGCTCAGGAGAAGAGCTCGTTTATCCCAGTATCCTGTTTCCAGGAATGGTCAAAGGGGAATGATATAAGTAGATGACAGATATATATATATATATATATATATATATATATATATATATATATATATATATATATATATATATATATATATATATATATATATATATATATATATATATATATATATATATTTATATGTAAAATCTATGATGCTTCCCACAGGTACTGCCCATCCTACTTTCCACTGAATATAAAGTGTTGACTAGGTGTTAAGTGGCTGAAGTTGGGAGATGAATCCCATCCAGAGTGTTTGGGAAAGAAATGAGAAACTTGAGGAAATGTAAGCGATCTTCCCTTGCAAATGTTGTGATGGGTTCTTGAGAGAAAAGCAAGCAGATTTTTTTTCTTCTGAAAAAGCAGAGCTCCTCTTCTAAAGTAGTATGAAATCTAAATAGATTCAAATCGTATTATTATTCCAGCAATAAAAATGCACACAGACTTTGTTGCTAGAGCTCACAGTCACAGGCTAGTAACTGTAAAAGGATGAAGGAAAGACAGAAAACATACTGTGAAAACACATTATTCTCTGAAAATAAATAGCAGAGATTGCCAAGTGTTTCTCCACCTAGCAGCGTTAGCTGACTGTGTCGAGAACCTGAAAAAGGGAACAGGAGCCCTCTCGGATCTCCATAGAGTGGTATTTTGCACAAGAATTGGTGTAGAAGAATGTATGAAAGCAGTTCTGAGAAGCGGCCCTAAAATAGCGCAAGCTTGCCTTCATTGGAGCAGAAGCTGCTGCAGTCAATAACAAGAATGGAGAAATAGGTAGGGACAAAGAAAGCATGTGAAAATGAGAACAGAAAGATGGAACTGGAGGTGGTGGAAAATGGTAAACTAATAGATGGCTTCAAAAAGAGATGTGATCAGGAGATCAGATGCAGAAAATTACTTTGGCAAAGTTTTAAATGCACGGTCAGTATGTATCTTTCAGTAGTATCTCTCCAAAAGGCAATCTTCATGCTCATTGTCACTGGATATAGTATAAAACCAAAATTCTGGGGCAGAATGATATAACTTCGTCTTTTGAAAAAAAAAAGTAATAATTTTTGGAAGATTTTATATCTCAGTTCTCATGTACACTAATAAAAGCAGATCATGAAGTGGCAGTGTGCCCTGTTTGCATAGAAAAGGTTTTTTCCATGGTTTTGGCCTTAAAAACAGAATTCTGGACCTGGACGTGTATTTTCTTGCTATACTTCTAGAATCTTTGTGCCTTAGTTTCCATGGGGTTAAGAAATAACTGTATGCTAGCAGTACCATTAGTCAATTGGAAAAAACACTCAAGCTCATTTCCTAACAAATGCAAAAGTAGGCTTATATAAACTTTTTAGGTTTTGATAGGGAGTAAAGGGCCTATTTGTAATAAGAAGCATTTCAAATTTATCTGTGACAACTACATACTTGCACAATTTCAGTGGGACCCCTATCAATTGCACATATTTTTTTTATATTCAAGACACATTTTCTGAGAAATCTAAACTGAAGTTTTCGTGTTCATATGTAAGCTGGAACCATTTTTGTGAGCTAGCCCCTACACAGGATTAGAAAAGCTTCAGAAAGACAATGTCAGACAAATTATAAACCCCTCAAGCTGTGTAGAAAGAAGACAGGGTCTGTGAAGGTTTTTGTATGCATAGGCATGTTTAAAAAATACAGTCCTTTGTTGATTTCTTCTCTGTTATTTTGTTCTTTTTTTTTTCTCCAATTGTCACTGTCTGAGTTTCTAGGTTGTAGATTAATGCTTAACACTACCCACTGTGTATTTGTGATTTGCGTTTTGTAATTAAGGGGAACAATGGGAGTCCATTGGGTCTCGTTATATATAATGGTTGGTTTAATTTGTTTCACTTCTATCTTGTTAATTGTAAATTGATCATTAAGATTTGAATTCTAATCTGTCACCAGGGTTGTGAGTATTGAAGCTAGAGCAATGATCCTGGTTTTAATCACTGATGATGAGAAACAAATTTTATAATTTTGGTACATATTGCAGTTCATATATTTTAACACTGTATTTTATGGTGTTATAAATATTGTTAAATGACTTTTAGTGTAGTTTTACTGTTTGGACTATAATGTATAAATTATATTACTGGTTTGGCAACAGTAGGCATCCAACTGTGTGAGTTTAATTGAAGTAAAGAACACACACCCGGCTGAACTATTTTTCTGCATGTTTGGTTGACTGCAGTCATTGTGCTCAGTACCAGGAGCAAAATGTTTGTTGAAGGTGGCCGTACGAAGATGTGAAACAGCCTGTCTGAAGGATCAGTCGTTAAAATTATATGCAACAATACTGTGTCAGCAGAAAAAAATTTAGAGCATGTATTTAATTGCTGTACAAGTAAACAATTGGTTTTGAGTAGGAAAAAAAAGGCAGTGCTTAAAGAGCACTGCAGAACAGTTCAGATGAGTAAAGGCAGCATTGCCACCTTAGTGTTCAAAAATCAGCTCATCCTGAAAGTATCCTGAGACTAACTTTGAATTGTGACTATTTAATATTTCCTGGTTCTTTGCCTCCAATACTTGAATGCTTTGGAGGAACCTGGGTTTTGTTTGGTTTTTTTTTTTTCCAAGGCTCTTCCAGCAAGGATAATAGATAAAAATTTAAATTTGTTTTTATGTAGAAGTTGAGGCTTTCCTGGTAGTTGAACGGATTCAGAAATATAGAGGGGGTTTTGTTGTTGTCCCTGTTCTACCCATCCAGCTATCATCAATTATTTTCAATATAGCGACAAATAAATAGATTTTTGGCAAAACTTACTATCCATCTATTTCAAGCATGCATTGTACGTTTTCATTTTCCTGTCATGTTGTAGCTTTTCTCTATGCAGTTTTGAAATAATATTGATTTCATACAGGTCTTTTGAGTCTATCAGATCCCAAGAGCACAAACTAAAATGACTGTATGACTTGTGTGGCCAGCCTGAGTCTGCAGAAGTGCAACTCCATGCAGAGTCCAGCTCAGATGACCACACTCCAAACATCTGCATGCTTCAGTTTCTTCTAAGTCTTACTACTTGGTCTGTTGGACCCAGAGTAGCTGTTGTGGAGCCACATCAGCATGTTCATGCTGTGTCCTTTAGTGTCCTTTAGTTGTTCTGGATCCATCTGACATAATGCACAGTGCACAGATTTTTCTAAATTACCTCTGTCCCTGGCGTTACTTGTGTGCTGTCTCTGAAGTTCAGGACTGTGTACTTTGGCATCTGCACTCCTCTGTCTTTTCCAACCCTGCTGTGACAGCTTGGGAGCAGAGTGATTCAGAAGCATTTATGGAGACCTGGTCCTATCCCTGGCCGTGTGGAATTGCTACTCCTAGTATAAATGTGCTATCATGTTCAGTACCGTTGTTTGAACTTATTAGAATTGATGGGGGGGCAGAATTAGCCCAACAATTTTGAAGTTATTTAAATACCACATAGAATTAACTGCTCTATCTTAATCTTTGGAAACTGAGGTGGATGAGTGGTATATTTAAGGATGCAGAGGGAATCTTTGTCAGGTGATAATGAAGCCTCTTGCTGTGCAGTCTTGTATTGGGATTGATGTTGTCTCTTTAATGCCAAAACATGAACCTTTTAACATTGACCTTAATAGGCATTCTGCCCTGCATATGTGCTGCCCTCCAAAATCTCAGTGTAATGAAGTACTTGCATCTGGGTGGTCAAACTCTTAGACATTTACTCGGAAAGGGCATTGTGTAAATAATATTTTGACTAAATTTTTTTTTTCTTTTGCTGTGTTCAACTGTAACTACAAAAGAAGTTTTAAGAGAACACAAGTAACATGGTTCAAAGCAGCAGGCATTTAGAGCTATATTTTAGAGATTAGAGATCATGCTAATTATGTTTTCATTTCATTCAGTACTTTCTTATGTTTCATTAATTGTAATTTTCAGTAGCATTTTGACTTTGGATGATTTGAATCCCTTGATCTTTCCAGAAATACTTCAGGCACCTTCAAATGTGCTAGAGATAAATCAGTCCCTTTAAAACTTTGAGATTTTTAGCACCTTGAAAGTTACTTCTGCTGTTTCCGTGAATGGGACAGCCACATATAAATACAGAAAAAGAAGCAGGATCCTGCAGTTGGAAAACCCTGCAAGCATGATCATGTACAGTATTCCCATGTGGCAAATGCTGTTGTTGCATTGTGCTGGCAAAAAAGGAACGCAATCTTGAGTTTAGTCCCTGTTACCACTTGGTTGTGCTTTGTTACGCCAGGTCTCTGTCAAGCTGCTCTGCAGTGGACCTTTGCTTTTATCCCCCAATTGTCTTTCTTACTGTACCAGTATCAAATACAGACTGCATTTGTACTGGGTGAGAACAATTGGTCCAACTGACAGTGCTTTGTCAATGCTGACATTAAAGTTACTAGTATTTCTGTTAAATGATTGGTTTAAAAATTTGACTTCTGTTACCTTCCTAGAACATCCTGCCCACTGTTACATACTTGTCCAGGAAACTCTTGTGCTTTTAAGTTTGCTGTACAACTACATCAGCACGATTCTGATGTATTTGTCAGTGATGTTCCTTAATAGAGCTGTAACTCCCTCTCTATATTCAATTACAAACAGACTTCTTCCAAAGTTTCCATTGCTAAGTTCTTTTAAATTTACAGATGATATCATGTATTGTTCTCTATTTAAACATGAAAAGATTATGTTGTCATTTTCAGATTTGACTTGTCAGTGTAACAACATGTTTTTGAGGGAGGAGTATTCCTTCCCCCCCCGTGCTTTGTTGTATTTTTCAGAATGTCAGTTGTTGTTGCATTCTATAACAGCCAGGAAGGTAAAATATCTTTATCTGCTGTAATTGCAGCATATTTAAGTTTATGATTTAAAGATATATCTGAAGCTTTTTAACCTCAAGATCTGGAGTGGCAGATGATAAAACAAATTTGCTTTGCTTTTGATTCTTACTTTCTGATGGTATAGCAGATTCTGACATGTTCTCATTAACCTTTTCCAAAGAGTTAAACTGTACAAGTGCATAATGTATATTTTATCACAATTTAATTTGAGATCTTTTCCTGATATTAAGAAACAGCTCATGCCTGTTTCTCCATGGGCTGATGGTTAGAGATGTAGCAAGTAGCAGTCCCGGGTCATTCATGGATCTGGTGTCTCTGCTCACACGTGAAGAATAAGAATTGCTAGAAGTGACTAATTTTCTTAAAGACTGTGCCGAGTTTTATGTAGATTAGGGTGTGCCTCTATGATTTGTCCCTTGTTTTCTCAAGGTTTTATTCACTTTCCTCTTAATATGTTTTTATTTTTTTTAATCTGTGTAATGGTATTTTGGGCATATTAGGTTAATAAAGTTTCTAGGGCAGTACCACTATTGACTGTTCAACCTGTACAGCGTAGTAAAGGTTGAACAAGTTTTTTGTAACAATTTTTAAATTGGATATTAGCTTTTACTAACAAAGAACTTGAAATGTGTTTTCCGAATGCTGCCCAAATTCTTGCTTAACAAGTATGAATTTACATTTATTGATCTTATTTAACATGACTGACCGATTGCCATTGGCATATTTACCAGATACCCTTCAGCATCATGATTTTTGGTTTTAAGATTCTTTGAAACAGTGTTTTGTTTCTGAAAGTTCTAGTAATAGCCTGTTTATGCATTACATATACATGTATGGAATTTTATAAATGCTGAAGCCACATATTGATGGCACGCTGCAGGATGAAATCTGACAACATCCATCATCACTCTGTTTTACTTCTGTAGATCTGAAATCAACCAGCTTAGTCAGGAAAAAGAGTATCTTCATGGCAGATTGGAGAAGATGCAGAAACGGAATGATGAATTGGACCAACAATGTATCCAGCATGGGAGAATGCATGAGAGGATGAAGTCAAGGTAGGAGGTCCTGTTAATCTGTCAGTACGTGGTATGCTCTACTGTACCTGTTGTGTTGTGTAAACATAAAAATGACACTGGGTTGTTTGAAAGTGATATTCTTTCCTTATGAAAATGACCACCCCTTCCCTCTCCCCAAGCATTCTGTCAAGTTTTTTTATAACATCTTTTACTTGTGCCGTTTGGGATAAATAAAAGGAAAGCTTGAACAACATAATCTTCCAAAGAATTTAAGCCTAGTACATATGTGTGTGGGCTGCTTCGGCTGTTCTCTGCTCTAACTTGGATGAATTGTCTTACCATATTAAAAAAAAAAAAGGGAAAAGGGGGGGATGTTATTCAGTAATATGAATGTAGCATACAGATGTGGATTCTGTAATGCCATGTTATAAGTGTATTTTTTGGGTTTACCATCTTACCTTTCACAGTAATATTTAACTTGTATAAACAGACAAATCTTACAGAAGATCTTAGTAACCAGAGAACTATTAACATCTTCCAGGCACATTAGCCTTTTCAGAGAAGCAGCAGCTTCCTCAGGAAAAGCTGGGAGCAACTACAGCAAGTCTAGTATGGAATATTTCCACCGATACTCATGGACAGTTGTGGCAGGAGTGTCCAGACTGATAATGCCTTGTGCTGTGTTTTGGGTTAGATGTCCTTAAAGATCACTGTGGAGACTTTTCTTTTTGGTACCAGAAAGTTCATCTAAGCTTTCTTGTTCTGTTTTCTACTCCATGTTCAGTGTAACAGGCACTGGAAAGAGCTTAAGCATGGTTGTGGAGGTAGAGGATAAAGTAGGGAGATGACTGAGAGGCAACTCTGCAGACCCAATCAGCCAGGCTTCCTCTTGTCCGTGGTGAGAGGCAAAATGAAGTTTAACTTTATTTGGACTAGGTAGTCCTGGCTGGGCAAAATGCTGTTTGCTTTTTTTGACTGCTGACTACCTGATACGAACAGAGCTTAATGTGTTGAAGCAACCAGTCTTGTATGCTCATTCTTTTTCAACTATTGATTTTTAAATATATTTTTTACTACCATCTCTTCGTTCTCTGTGTGTCCATATCAGCTTGTTTCTTGCAAGCTTTCCGTACATTCTTTTCAGTCATCCAGACCCCATTCTTTCCTCTTCCTTTTCAGATTTCTGTCTGTACCTCATCCTGTTCTTCTGTAACCCAGGATTGTCATCATCTTTTATAGCTCAGAGAACAAAGAAATTTGAAATGCTATGACTGTGTCCCTAATCTATGTGACCACATAATCTTTCCGTTCATCTCACCTCCCTTTTTGGTTTCTTTACTTGTGGTGAATTCTTAGCATATGGGGGACATGCACTGAGGACTCAGGGTTACTTTCAGGGGAAAAAAGAATTAAATCTTTTCCTTTTTTTTTTTTTTTTTTTTTTTCCCCCCCTAGCTGTTCTTCTGTAGGATTATTAGTATCTAGTTGAATTTAAGACTGCTTTGTAAGATTTTAGGACAACCTTCCTTCTGATGGAACCAAATAGATCTGCTGGAAAATGTTGCTCATTCTCTGCTGCAGCAGCAATGATTATACACTGGAAAAGATTGAAAGCATTAATCCAGAACAGAAAAGTGGTTTGAAAGCAGAGTGGTCATGCTGCAGGCGGTGCCTTACCTTCTGCTGCTGTTTTGCTGACAACAAGGAGAGAAAACAGGACAATGATAGCATTTGTCTTATTTAATATTTTAAAATATGTAAATATGGCAGAGATTATGAGGCATTTGAATCATGAACAGTACACTTTACCAGCATTTTAAGAGGGGTCTCTTTTAACATATTTTTAATTATGATCTCATACTATATTCATTTAAAATCCAGGTAATAACTTAAAGACTGATATAATAAACTGCTTTAAAAAATCAGTGTAATCTACTTTTAGGTTCCGTATGAAAACTGATAGTATTAGATACTCAGTATCAGTTCCCAAATGCTATAAATTTGCTATGAAGTATTCAGATCTTAGTGAACAAAAACAGAAAGTATAACTACTACAACAAATAAATCTCCCAGTTCCTTATATTTATGTGGAAGGACTTCCACCAAATAAAAATAGTGATTTTTCTCTTCTGATTTTGAAAACAGAGATATGATTGTGCTATTTAGTAAAGGCAGAAGAACAAATAATAATAATGTGTTTTGCCTCAGATTTTCATCCATCAGTCAGATACTAATAATCACAACAAAATAATGTTAAGGATGATTGCTTCTTAACACAGTATGTTTCCCCTTTGTATGCAGCTACAAATAGCACCAGTCTTTTTGCAACACAACCCTGCAAAGTGGGTTCCTATCTAATTTTCTGTCTGTTGTCATTCTGGCTCTCTCTAGAAACTTTATTATATCAAAATAATTTTAACTTAACTTGGGAACTAACATTTGCATTTGAATAATAAGGAATTGGGGCATTTGTTTAAGAAGAAATCCCTGTCACTCCTTGTGTTCTTCTAGGAGAGTATGATGGCCCTGCTATAACTGTTTTGTGGAAGGATCAAGATTTAATTGATGATTTGGAATTTCTTTTAGAGTTACAATATTTGGGTGATTGTGATAGTAGCATTGCTGAAAATTAACAAGACAACTCTTTCTTTGCCATTCCTATCTTTCTGTCTGGATGTGCTGTATATGAATATAATCTGAAATAACATAAAGGAGATTTTTTAAAAAAAGGATTACTTTAAATTGCTATCATTAGAGATTATTTTAAATCGGTCATTTCAATACGATGCAAGTATCCATCCCTTTCAGTGTGTTTTTTCTCAGTGAAATACAGCATCATAAGGAGTAGTTGTCCATCTAAATGACATAGTTGATGTACGCTGTTGGGGAAAATTTGGATTGAAAGATGTATGGTTTGCAGGACTAAGGTGACACATTAGGACTGCAGTAAAGCTTATGAAGAGATGTTCATTTAATGTTGTTAATCTAGCAACCCTGTGGTTGTTTAGCTGTTTTGTATTATCTCAAAAACTATTTTCTCAAAAGTATTAATTAAAATGACATGGGGTAACTTATGTGCCACTGGAAATGAGCTAGTCAGCATGCGTGACACTATGGATCTGAATCTTGGAGAAATAGATTTCTGTCTGCTTATGTTGCAAAGAGCACACTGGTATAAATTTTCAACCTGAATGCAAATTTTATTATTAAATTCTTCAAAATCCCATTCTGTACTTCTGTGTTCATAGTAAAAATTAGCAGGTAGCAGGAAGAACAGGATTTTTTGTAAGGCAGCCATAAAGACAGAAAGCTAGTCAAGAATAAAAATAATATGTAGCAAAAATAAAAGGTTAAACTACCCTTCTGTTTTCCTTCTATGCTCCACTCCACAAAAAACAAGTAGATTCCAGAGGAAGGAAAATCTGAAATCATAATTATTGGGTAACTGTGCACATAATGTTGATTCATTCTCCCCTTTACCTCCTTCAAAACCAAATTCCAAGCCCTGCTGTTTCACCTCTGTAGCTAGACCAGTTCTGTAAATGCAGATCCACTTTCTCACAAGCTCTGTTCTCTTCTGATTTGGGGAGCAAGAAGAAACAGGCAAGAGTATGCCTAGATCTATTACTGATAGGACATATTTATTACAAAGTAGTATTTGCCAAGGGTCAGGATTTCATCAGGCTATTTAAGCTTTCACTGGACTTAGTTAATAACTCTTGCAGTTACAAGGTTCAATTACGGCTTTGCTTTTCTGCATCTTTTCTTCTTCTCATAACGTAAGCATTTGGTTCCAAGTCATCTATTTAGAGAATTTCTTCTGTGGACAGCCAGTGTCTAAAATGGGAAGCATTTAATTTATCTAGCTCTTTTCTGTGTACATTTCCTGTTAAAGACCCAGATGATGTGTGGCAATACAGCAAATATGGAGTAGTGTCTTCAAGCAGGAGAAGAAAATCCTAGGTAATCGTTTTCTTTTTCTCAAGATGAGCCAGCCATGCCTTTACATTTTATCAAGCAGCAAAAAAGAGCATATGGACAGTAGTTTGTATGAAGTATGAGGCTCTTTTGAAATCTTTTCAATAAAACATAAATTTAGAATCTTCTAATGAGTTTTTTCCAAGCATGTTTCCAAACTAAGTCCGGTATATGAGATCTGGGGCTATGAATTTTCTCTAAAACTTCCGTTTTGGTGAATTAGAGTTGCTATTACTGTTATTTTTGCCGTAATATGTGTGATCACTGTCCAATCTGTATAACGTTAATAATAATAATTATAATAATACATTTAATGAAAATTTATAAGGGGCTTTCTGTTGTGGTAGATTTTTGTGGGTGATGGTGTTGCATGTATTTCAACTGTATTTTTGGGAGCTGAAGTTAAAAAGAAGAGCCTACAGGACTGGCAGTTTGGGGCAGATGTGTGTCTATTCCTCAGGCATCAGTGGTTGTAAGTTAACTATAAAAATGTTACAACCATCTGTGTAACAAGACGGCAGAGATCTGCTCTTGCCTGTTACTATAAATAAGAAGGAGATTTGTTTGACTTCATAGACATTGGATTTTATAAAGACTATATGTGTCAAATCGTAACTACGTGCCATGTTGCTGAGATGTGTCTGCAGCCAACTACCTGGGGTGTCTTCCCCTTCAGACATTCTAGTGTAGTGCAGCAACTGTGCAGAAATGTCTGTATAGCACGATGTGACAAATTATATTTGTTTTCTACCTATGGGGAAATGTATGATTCTTATGGATAAGCTTAACTGGAAAAGTAGGTAAAATGGATTCTTAAATGGACCACTCAAGGAGTTAGAGAGAAAATGTGATACTCAGTTTGATAACGGTTTTAAAGGTTTTTCCCACCATTAAATTTTGTCTTGTTTTTGCTACTAAGTGATAGTGTATGAGAGATCACATATACATGAGACAACACATATATATGAAAATTGAGACGTGTATATTGAGAATATATCAGCAGTTTCAAGTAACTGATACATAAAATCACAATAGCTGGTTTGCTGTCACTATTACATTTC